TTGCAGTTTAATTGCCGTGACAAGAAGATAGTCGTGTGAGCATTCACCGAATTAAAGTCAATTGTTACATAAGGATTGTAAAGTTTTGGGTAAGACTGTTGTATCAAGAAGATAATGTTATTCTAAAGAAAGTATATTCTTACCAGTTGTCTCTAGCAAACAAGGGCTTGAGTTGTTGGGCATTAGAAGTCAAATCATTATTGTTTCACTATGGATTCGGGGAAGTGTGGATAAATCAGGATGTAGGCATTATAAACCATTTTATTTCGTGTTTCAAACAAAGATGTATAGATATCGATAAACAACGTTGGTTCGAAGCCCTCCGTAAGTATAATAAACTAACTCTGTACCGTTCTATAAAACATGACGCAAATTTTGAACTTTACCTCTCGTGTTTACCAGTGAAAGTTTACTGTATTGCCCTGTCATCACTCCGCTGCTCCAGTCATATATTATTAATTGAACAAGGTAGGAAACTAGGTTTAGCTAGGGAAGAAAGGTTATGTCCTTTGTGTGTGGTTAGAAATATTGAATCAGAATATCACTTTTGTTTAGTATGCCCATTTTATGATGGACTGAGACGAGCTATTATTCCTGCCTATTATCATACATTCCCTTCGGAAAACAAATTTAAACAGTTGATAGCAAGTAAAAATGTCCATGTGCTATCATTGCTTGCAAAGTATGTATTCTTAGCGTTCAAACTACGAGCACGTTTCCTGTCATTGCATGAATGATATATATATATGTGTATGTATGTATGTATATGTATGTATATACATATATGTATGTGTGTGTATGTGTGTATATGTATATGTCGCAGGCGCTTGGTGGTGTAATACACTGTATCTTCTGTATGTATAATGGGCCAGTGGCCCCCCATACTGTCAATAAACTCTCTCATTCACCGAATCAAAGCCAGCCAGGCACAGAGACGTCGAAATCATTTACCATTGTGGGGATGATTGGTTAGCAAAATACAAAAATTCAAAATTCACTTTCGCCTTGTGATGCCTACATTCTTAAAGGGTGATCGTTGGGATGGTAAATGATGAATATGAACAATCTACTGATACAGCTTTTTAGAGGGGTGGGGTGGGGTGGGTGCACACTATTGAGAAAACAAACTTTCAGCACAAGGGGGCACACCCTGCAAACACCCCCCCCACCCCCTCTGGATCCGCCTGTGTAAAATATCATTTATAATCGTTGATATGTACTCAGCATATAGAGAAACGCAAATGTAGAAAACATGCAAATACCTGACAGTATTTGCTTATAGTCATATAGAATGGATACTAAATATGAATTGATCATGCTTGCCTGTATCGGGAGTGATTTGTGCGGGGCAGAATATAGTATGGAAAAACAATGCCGAAAGAGTCGGGAAAACGTAAAACAGCAACCACATACTGAGGAACTATGAAAAACGTGTGTCATCAAATGTACAGCAAGAGAAAAGCGGAAACATGGCACGATTGACATAAGTTACACGGAGTATAGTCACAACAACAATGGAGGCGTATTTAGTCCCGTGACGAGTCACGCTTGTTTGGTTCTCCGTACAGTGGAAGACGTCGTGCTTACAGCCGTCGTGGGGAACGTTATGCTCGAACCTGCATACAGGAAGCGGACAAGTTTAGTGGCGACAGTGTAATAATTTGGGCTGCCTTCTCCCATACCGGTAGAACTTGGTGCACATCTTGGGCGATTTAAAGGCACAATGTTACACAGCTGAAGTTCTTCTGCCACACGTCCTTCCCTTTGCAACAATCACACGTTATTTTTTAACAACGACCGGCCTCACAAAACTGGCTAAACTGACAACAGCCTTTTTGAGGAACCACACTATACCACTACTGCCATGGCCCTCAAGGTCTGTAGATCTACACATCGAACAATTAATGATCTTGAATGATCTTGATCAACATCTCCGAGTACGTCAGCAACAGCCACAGAACATCCACCAGTTGGCACAAGTACTGCACGGAGAGCGGGTCAAACTTTTCCCCAGGTCACAACTCGTAATCTTGATGGGGCGGGGATGCCAGGTATTTTATTACTCTCATGGGGCCATACGAGATATAGAGAACATCACCTTGAAATTCGGTTGTTTCATGTGTGTCATGATGAACCTCGGTCAGTGACAGTGACGTTTGCCAAATGTGAAACAATTTATTATGATCAGTTATTTATTTATGCAATTATTATGCATAAAGTATACATCTCAAAAACCCCTTTGTGTTTCTTTCTTTGCAGAGTATATCATGCACACCATATGCTGGAATATAGGTATGCAAAATATTTATATCAATACTTATCCAGATACAAACTGTACATTTGCTCTCTCTTCGATCTCCTAACACAAATCCTACAACGGGCCTCTCCACCACGGGGCTCTCACCACCAGTTCAACAGTCGGAGATAATTGGAAAATGTGCATGGAGGTTTACCTGTGATATTTGTTACATCTAGAGTTATTGGCGGTTTGTCGTGTGGCGTTTCAAAGCAGTAAATTAGTATTGCGTAGCAATCAGTTCTGCCTCATATTGCATCAGTTACACGGGAATACCTGTGCATATCCCAAATCGGCGCACAACAGACCGTGTTGGGGTTTCAGGGTGTGGCAGCCAGATACCAAATTTGGCTACAATAGGTGCTATTGGTTGGTCTTCATGTTTTTTTAAAAGCAAATGTTACAAAACTGTATATTATTACATAACAGATCATGTGATCTGCCTCAATCGGAAATTCACTGATATCTGCTATGTTTGTACGTATTCATGTCGATTATCATGGAAAGATTTTCTCGTTATGTTTGATACTGCAAAGTGATTAGAAGATTTATGTACAGAAATAGGCAACAGGTAACAGGAACGTACTAAATTGCTCATTTGTGTAAACCTTTTGAAAACAGAATTTGTAAATGTTTTAGATAAAGATGACTGGCACTTTTATTCATATTTACAAACTGACGATTTTCACAAAAGAAAACAAATTGAAGGAGTTTTTAAAAATAAGATTAAGTATCTTGATGCATACACATATATTCATTTTAACTTAAACCATTACCTTTTAGCAAAGGTGTATGCTGACGAAGAGGTTTAAAATCTGTGTTTTCAAATATTTTGTTCCCATTTGTTGGCGTTTGTACTTACCTTTGACCCTTATCGGTCACAGTGCGAGATATTCTGGACAGTTTTCTCGATTTAAATGAGTCTGTTTTTTCTTGTATTTTTTTAATCTCTGCTACATTAAGATCAGATGCTGTCCCATAACAGGTCACATCAGAACGACTTTCATCAAACCAATAAGAGTGTCGCTTTCGAAATGTGACTATCAATAACCCATGTTATAACTACTGCCAAACGTCTGTTTGACATTTCAGAAATACCTTTGGTTTAGTTTTCACATTTTTTTATTCCAATCTTCAAAAGCCGCCATAAATATATTGCAAAATGTAGTATTGAATGGAAGTTATCACTTTGAAACTAGTGCCGTATAGTTCGAGAGAGTTGCGCCATGATTAACTCATACTGACTTCCTGTCATTTCACTGGTCAGTCAAAGTTCGCGTATGGTCATTTTGACGTGACCTCTGATGGGATATCGTCAGGTCTTTTGAGCAGCGGAACGTAGCAAACAATCAGATTTTGAGGAGACATATTTATTTGGTATCATCGCCTGTGGTTAACAGCTGTTCTGAAACTATGAGGTGTCTGGTTTTCTACCGGTTCGTGTAGTGAACATTTTCAACAAACAGTTTTGTATCTTGCATTTGTGACGTTGTGTCGCCTTCATGAACCCGAAGTCTTGTTCATGAGATTTGTGTTATACTGGTGATGCATATGCACATTTAAAAGGCTTTCATTCAAACGTTGCATTACTCGTTTACATGTTTCATGTAATCATGCATAAGGGTATCATTTAAATGTGATATGTAATAATTACTTCAGAGTGTTCAGGGTCATACTTTGGGCATTCCTGTGGTTTTGATTCACACACTGTATATACGCCTTCACATGATTTTGATTCAAATGTTCCATGTGCACAGATTTTGATGAAATCGTTTGATGTTCGGGATGTCTTGATACAGAGGCAATGCACGTACACGTTCATGTGGCTTTGATGTTAGAAATTCAAACGGTTTTGATTCAAACACCACATATACTCATTCAACCGTTGGATGTACTGACCCGACTGCTGCATGTATCAATAAGGTTTTCATTCAACCGTTGGATGTACTGACCCGACTGCTGCATGTATCAATAAGGTTTTCATTCAACCGTTGGATGTACTGACCCGACTGCTGCATGTATCAATAAGGTTTTCATTCAACCGTTGGATGTACTGACCCGACTGCTGCATGTATCAATAAGGTTTTCATTCAACCGTTGGATGTACTGACCCGACTGCTGCATGTATCAATAAGGTTTTCATTCAACCGTTGGATGTACTGACCCAACTGCTGCATGTATCAATAAGGTTTTCATTCAACCGTTGGATGTACTGACCCGACTGCTGCATGTATCAATAAGGTTTTCATTCAACCGTTGGATGTACTGACCCGACTGCTGCATGTATCAATAAGGTTTTCATTCAACCGTTGGATGTACTGACCCGACTGCTGCATGTATCAATAAGGTTTTCATTCAACCGTTGGAGAGTTATAATCAATTATGTGTTCATTTAAACACTGCGTGTAATCGTCTATAATCATGATAATTTGTAATCATAACAGTATGATCTAGATCTGAGTGTCATCTGAACCCCAGGTATCGGTAAAGGTGATTATTTGTATGTGTTCTCCCCACTTGAAGCTCAATACAATTATTTGCTATATTTAAATCAAAGCGTCCCGTATTTCTGAGATAGTGATCGACATGTTGCACCTTCTTACTACACTGTTCGCGAAACAAGATGAAACATATTTGTCGAAGCATATTGTTTCGTCATGTGACATTTCAGTGAAGATACTCGTTCTGTGCTACAACACATATCTTTGAAAAATAGTTCTTTATTTCCATACGCATAAATTGCAATATGCATGTAAAATGCGTACTGCATAAACACAGGCATTCGCTTGTTGGCATGATACAAAACCGACAAGGGTATATGAAGGTACACGATATGAACCTCTAGTATTTGGTCTATACATGACGTAATAACTACGGTATCACAATAAACAACGCGGGTAGTGAGGCATGTACATACCAATATGACAAATGAAGTAAACTGTTATGTAGAAAGAAGTTGAATAGTTAAGCAAACACTTGCAGTATATGACGACAGTTAGCTTTGCCAGACCAAGGCGTTTTTATTAATCAACTGATTACTTTTCCTTACTGCCATTGATTGTAAGATCGTATTTTCTAACAGCTGAATCAGTGAACAGATGTAAACATTTAGGGACCATCAGTTTTACATGTTTAACTACAAACATTTGCCACATATTCATTCATCAACTTCAATTTCGCCTTTACGTAAGGATACAAAATGTCGAGTTATGCGAGAATGTTACACAAACCGGGTTCAAACGCCAGAGATCCCGACAAAATCTAGAAACTCACAAACAGAATTTGGTCCTTCATAAAAAGGACTTTACTGACAGAAAGAAGAAGTAAAAAACTGTCTTGTTAATCTACGGAATGTGTCGACTGTGAGACCAAACTTCCCATTCTCAATGCCCAAACATTTATGAAATACATGTAACTTAATGTAGCTACGTCACAGACGGTCTGATTGTATGCATCAACTACTGGCTTCATCTACCATGTAGGTGGGTCATGAATGCTTCATGACTTGTATCAATCTTAAATTCATAAACATGTGGGCACGCGAACGTTTTTCAAACAATATGGCAAACATCGTTTTGGCATACATATACAAACATTATTATGACCGCAAGAAATAATGTAACATGACAATAACATTAATATAATGCATCAGAAAATTCAAATGATATATAGCGAAGTTCCAAAGAACAAATCGGTCAATAATATTCAAATGCATTGTTAATTATCATGAACATGTGATACAACAGGTGGTATGAGCAAATTACAAACGGAAGATCGATTATCGGTCTATACTCTCAGAGAAGTAGGGAGGTACTAGAAATCACGTTTTATCTGAATTCCTTTGATTCATTAACTTGTGTTGAAAGCACCAAAATGATTTATCCGGAAGGGACATTCAACGTTAATGCACGCAGCCCAGATAATCCTAAGACCGTGTTGTTGGTAGATGTTTCCATACATTAACATGATATTTTCCTTGTAAGGGAATGAAGAAATATATGTTGCCTGGCTGATTAAATGATATTTACTCAGATAGTTGAGTGTTTCAACGGTGTTACATTAAACCATTTGTGATGCAAACGACATCTTCATCTACATGCGACAACATGTAGTGAGGAAAGTCACCCGATGCCTTTCACAAGTAAACGAAATATTTGAAGAATAAGAATTGTGTGAATATACTTATCGGCGTTAACCAGACATATTTCTCAGTGAGACCTACTGAAATAAGTCCAAGACTGTTCGTTCCACTGTGGAATACATTAGCAATCGAAGCAAAATATTAATCATGTTTCTTGTATGGGATTCAGTAAATATTGTGTTTAGTTAGTTATGACAAAAGATGTATCATGTAAATCTTTATAGACACATATACCATGGAATACAGAATGAAAGTCGGAAGTTTGAACACAAAACACGAGCAGTTGAGATTGACAGTTATTCATAAGTGTCAACATCTCCATGAACTTCCTCAATTACACGATGGTCTTCAGATGAGATAGCGAGTATGTGTATCACTGCTTCCTGTGCATGCATCTCCACTCCAGATCATTACCATTATTACCATCATTACCATTATTACCAGAGCAGCACATGTACAGGTGCGCGTGTAGATATATACAATATTGATACATTCTATGAGCGCCTGTGTGTTGTGTACGCGCTTTGTCCTTTGTTTTGGGGCGATGTCTGCCCTACCGGAGCCCAAGTCTTATCGGATTTCCTTTGGTATCTTACATTACCAAGACCCCAAGGAAGTCCTACTGACTGGTGAGACCATCATGCATTGTAATGGACATCTTGACAGTGACTGTTGTGTCGAAGAGGAACGGTTACTGTAAGAGGAATTGTGTCACCATAGTACCAAACAGCAAACAGAACCTAGGATGTGCATTGTTGACGATAATAGTATGTAGTCTGTGTTTGTAACACCAAGATTAACACCAATATCAATATGTATATCCAGCAATAAAAGAAAACATGCAATTATATCTTAAAGGTTTCTTTTTCAGTTTAGTGCCTCTTCCTTCTTCCAAACCATCCCGTCTAGTACGTTTCCAAGTATTCCATGACGACCCGCTGCTACCTCTCGGTGCAGTGAACACAGTGCTATTGTTAATAAGCATTCATCACAACCGGACTGGTTTTCTGTCTTGATGGAAGGGGAGGTCTTCTGCTGTATAGCACGCAAAGATATCTTATAAGAAGATGGGCACTTCTTTCACCACTGAACGCTTGAACACTGTTCTGTTCATGGTTTAACACACTTGTCTGTACATCGGTTCATGACCGTGCCTTACATTCACCATAACTAGCTAGATCAAGAGTGAAACTATTGCACTGTTAAAAGTATTCCTCTGTAATAGAATCTACATCTCGTCACACTGCTATGTTGGAAGTCTGTGGGTATTAAGTAGACACCTGATGCGATTTGTTCACATTAAATGACCATTCACACTGTATAAAACAATTCATGGGGCGTTTCCCCAGTGAGCAAATAACACAAATGGTAATCACTATTGCAGACAGGTTCCAGACTGCAATAAACTTCCACATCCATGTTAACGAACGGAAGGAAATGCAGTGACAGCTTGTAGACAGATGATGTACTTCTTGGGCATATCATGTTGTAGCCTGCACAGGTTGGGAATACTGGCGATGGAAATGCACTTCAGGTTCTGTGAGGAGACCATTGGTCTCATCGGGCACAGGAGCAGTAGGGTAGGTTCTCTCCCGAAACACGGCGCCAGTAGTATGAGGGTCCATGTTGGACTGGGCTTCTAACAGTTTATTTGTTGTTTCAAGATTCTCCCCTTTTTCAATATCTGTTTTTTCTGTCTTTTTAATACATGGAAACACGTCAGTTATGCCATGGCAGAAGTTGTTCTGAGCTCTGTTATAGGTGAGACTTTCAATCACATTACCATCAGCGTCAAAACACAAGTCACCTGCAAAATAAAGTTTCTTGTTACATTGATTGCTAAAAAATACATGAAACAGAAATTTGGGTAACACTTGTGTTGATACATTTCCCCAAGGTACACGTAGACATGAAACTAACAAAGACTAGTCACGTGCGAATGTATGACACTGATATCACATCAACTTTTAACATCAGGGAGTACGACAACAATAACGTCATACCCACATGTTTAACATCAATCATACACGTAAGTATTTTATACTTTTACATTTCAGCCACGTTGCAAGGTAGGTATTTCAATTAAAATGAATATGTGCGCTTTCTGTTCCTCACATACTGACTTCAGTATGATTGATTGGAATATCTTAAATATGTTTTTTTTTTCTGTTACTTCCCTGCATTAAAATATGTTCCACGTCGCGTGATACATGCTACAACGACATGATATCCGTGCATGATAATACTCACCAACATCGTTTCTAAGACTGTTGCATATTTCATAGACAATGTCATCTCGTTTACAGTTACGGAGACACTGAAACAGCTCTGTCACTGCAGTATGGTTCTCTCCTTTCCAAGACTTCCATTCGCTCAAATAGCCCTTTATTGTCTCTCGTGGCGTCTTGTCTGTTAACAGAAACAGTTAGAATGTCACTTACTGCTCCCAACAATGTCTGTGGCTGTGGATGTTCCCAGCCTACGGTGTAGCCTTTATACCTCTGTGGCTGTGGATTTTCTCAGCCTACGGTGTAGCCTTTATACCATGTCTGATTCACCCAATCTAAACTTGTAAATTAAAGTTGTTGTAATATGTTTAATAATTATTGTGATGGGACAAATCTGTAGTTATCAGTCAATGATATGCAGTTTGATAGCCTGTAAATGAAATGTACCTTTATACGTTTCCACAACTAATTCGTATTTGCCTGGCATGTGATGTGATCTGAACAAGTCCTGTGCCAGGCCCCATGCCTGTCGTTCAATCCTCGACTCTATCTGGCTGAATGATTCATCCAACACTGAAGTAAGAGAGTACATCACACGTTACTGATCATGGAGGGAACATGTGCGTGCCGGGCGTTAGCAAACAGACACGTTAACAACAACCTTCAAAAACAATTCTAATATTAATGAATTTGTATTTCCTTACGTGTCTTGTTCAATAATTAAAATATCATAATCAGATGTTTACAATTACATGAAAACATCATGAAGAGCAGAGCCTTCAGCGGCGACAGAAGGCATGACACACCTAGTACATGTCTAACCAATAACTCCTGTGTGCGCAAACAATCTCACCAGATATAAATCCCTGTATCTACCTTAGGGAGTGATGTATAATCACTTCTTATGTCATGTATGTATGTTGTATGTTGTCTGATAAATTGTAAAGCGATGTAATACGAAGTTCAAGCTTACAATATCAATGAACATTATTAATAGGTAAACATTTTAGATATCAGGTGTCATATATGTTGAGTCCACTAAATCCTACACATCATGATGTCACCACTATCGTCATAATTATCCTAAATACAGTGGGCTATAAGCACTATACCTTTTTTGCTTAGATCATCATCTTTTTCACACTTTTGAATGATCAAATTCTTGAGTTCTTCGAGTTGATCCTCTGTTAAATTGACATCCTGGAAACAAATATAGTGTAACATAGAGAATAGTTTACACATATCCACACAAACACAGAGAGAGGGGAGAGTTTATATTTAGTTATACCTGTATTTACTTATTGATATGAAGACATGAGAGAGAGAGAGAGTGAGAGAGAGAAGCTACCCTTTGCGTCCTCTTCTGGTGTCGTCTTTTTGCAGAGTAGCAGCAGTACTAGGAGGATAAGAAGAACTAAAGCCCCAGCCACACCACCTATAATGACTGCTGTTTTCAGTTTTGTGTCTGGGCCGTCAATTTGAGATACAATACTGCTGCAGTCGTTGATGTCTGCAACAGAGACAATATAATAACACAACAACAGAGACAATATAATAACAAAACGACAGAGACAATATAATAACACAACAACTGAGACAATATAATAACAATCACCTTCCACTGATGGCTCCAGAAGTTGCAACTTACATACACGACGATTTCTTGTCACGTGACTGGTGGATTACGCACCCGGCTGGGGACATCCGCCCAAGAAAGTAGATTTTGAATTGTGAGGTGTCGTGTCTGGACTTTGTTAATAATTTAACTGCCAACTCTAAGTGATCTATTACTTTTTTGAAACCACTCGTAAATTTTATATGAAAGTAGCCTACAACAAGTGTACAAAATATTCTTTACTTGTCAAGGTGACAGATCTGAAGGAGTAACAGACGAATTATAGTTAACTTTACAAATGGTTCTAATTTCAAAGTTACAACTGGACAACTTCATTTACAAGTGGACATTTAAGGCCAGCAGCTGTAGGTGCCTTTCAGATCATGCGGCCTCAACTGATACGTGAGAACACATTGAAGAGCAGGTATTGATTCATATTCATGTTGTCTAATAATTAACAGTTTGAAAAAAAAAAAATTCCTGTCACTGACAGTAAACTCTCTATACTTCTTTACATCGTGTTCGTGAACCATTGGTCAATATGCAGTTTGTCGTGGAAATAATGTTAGATAATAAAGTTAAATAAAGTTGATCTATTGTAAATAGTCAGATGAAAGACGATTCACTATTCCTGTGCTACGTAGAAATCATGGCAAGTCTATTCTTCTTTTCAGCATTGACAGATACGTGTAGATGTATAAACATGTTTTAATCCTTGTGGGTTCAAACATTTTCTTTATGGCACGTAAGACTTAGACATTTTACATCACACCCTAAAATTCGGAAATAATCATATCTCTCGTACAAATTCTTTAATTCGTACCTTTGTTGATTAATGCAAGGTTTATTGACTATTTTCTGTGATCTACCCAAAGTGTATCCTCCTTGGGCATCACACAAAACCGGGACTCGCTAAACAAATCGCATTCTATGTTGCCAACATCATCTCTTTATTCAACACATACAGTTTACCAGTTGACATTTCCGAATGAGGTTGCACTTTAACCGCGAAAGCCAAATGGTAAAGTAGTCGTTCAAATTCTGAGGTTTCTGGTCCCAGTCCTTCACATGTATCAAATATATAAGTGCACAGCAGATCTACATTGTTCACTGGGGCTTGAAGTAAGTATGTTCCCTGATGTTCCCGGACGGGGCTATCACGAACACCTTCTCGATCTTGGAGAAGAGATGGCAAGGAAGTACAAATATGCTGACAGAAGGGAAGCATTGTTCAGTCACACATACAGACCTCCTCCCGTCCGTTCCACACCTTCTAAGAAGTACAAAACGCCTCAAACAATTAGTGAAGAGCGATCAGTCAGAAGGGAGATCTTAGCATCTACCGTTCCAACACAATCATAGACAACGGGAAGAACAGGGATATGCCTGCCCCTCGGGTCGACATTCAGACAGAGGTCGATTGATTTGACAGACGATTTTGAACGAGGCACTCAGATAGGCAATCAAGGAACATTTATGACTGCAGCGATTAGTTGTTGAACAAGGATATTTTCAATATATATCGTTGTTGTAGGGATATTTGGTGATGAACCAATATTTGGATTAACGATCAAATCTCAGAAGCACCGGATCCAGATACCGTTAGGATCTGGAGCATTATGTAACAAAACCGTCATTTCATACCGTCAGTAGCGTCTAGATTTGTCAGTGGTACAATATAAATTCTACTTGTAAATCATGATCTCAAAAGATGGTTGTGAACGCTCTACTAAATAAACATTATGAACGAACAGATACAGCTGAAAGGTAAGTATAAATAATGATGCCTCACATTCGAGGGCTACCGTATGTCCTTAAATCTTTTGAGTTGCACAAGGTGCACATTAACGTATATCCATTGCCCAAGCTACACAAAGCCTGGACCTCTACTACCCCTGATAGTCCGTGGACCCGATACCTTACCTCTAACTACAGGTCCACATTCATTGTCAAAGGTGCCATTGCTTTTCTTTTTCGTGCATCGACTTTCCTTCTCGCAGCTGAAATATGAGGAAAAAAAGAAATTGGAAAACGCGTCCTCAGACCATTAGCACCCTATCCTTCCAATCGCATTACACCAGAACCAATCAATATCCCATTTCTCCCTCCCTACAATCCAATTATAAGATCTTAAATAAACACGTAATGATTACAGAGTTCAAATAATACAGCAGAGGTAAATACAAAAGACAACTATCAAAAAGCCGCTAACTCAGGATTCATAGGTATACTCTTCTCCCTCGTGTGCCCAAGGTACTCTTCGCCTACACTGCGTCTGCTATTGATCATCGCCTATTTCATATGATTAATAAACAACCAATGTAATAAATTTTCCTCTCATCTAATAAATTGAACATGATGTAATTGTGTCTACAGATTGACATACAACATCACAAGCCCACATTAAAGCATTAAAGTTGAAAAGTCAAAAGTATTTGGGAACCCATTGTTTAGTACAATATTAGATTTTAAGAAACATGTGCACATCAAACAGCCGAATTACTCACTCCTATCAGTAGTATCAACCCGCTAGCCTAATGGTGTTGCATAAATATGAATATGAAGGAAATATAATACAGATATATGCCGATATTGCTTCTTTCAGTAACTTACTAATGGTTGAAAAGGTAACAGCCAATCCATTCACCAATGCAGTGGAATTTACCTTGCTCAAGAAATGCTCCCATGATCCAAATCCAAACAGAAAGTTTTAAAGTGACATACATTTCCTGTAAGTATGTCTAAGTCAGGCCTAGCATACGCCATTGCAACATGTAATGATACCCCACACATACAGCATATAGACGACTTTGTTATTAATCGAGAGGTGTTCAATGCATATTGTTGTTGATGATGCAAATCTATCTGAGTTACAACCGAAAGATTTATAATGTTTCGTAACTTAATGCCATTTAAAAGTGGGTTGTAAATTAGTGGAAGATCCCCGTTCGGTGTTATTAGGATATTTCCCTATATTTCCCTTATTCATTATTGCAAAGTAAGGACTTTTTACCCTTTGTTGTAAATCTTGTATGCGAGATATGTCATAAATAATTAGTAGGAATAATGTAAACAAAGAAACAATATTATATGGGAATAATGCCATGTGTGCTTACTTTCGACAAAAATATCTAAGCTAAATATGTTCAGATAGTTACAACATTGGCAATGCTGAACACTAACCTTACAGATAAATGAATCCCGCCATAGCATACAAATGCATCGTGATACATATATCCACTATTATGTATACATGTGTAAACATATAACAAGCTGGAGTTACAGTTAGCATCTGCAGCATTAGTCAAATGAATATGGTCACCAATGAATTTCCAAGAAAATCTCACATTAATGACCAAAAGCATATTTTGAAACTGATTCAAAACAACACTCAAAATGATACATAAATGGATCCGTCATCTCTTTGCCTTCCGGTTTTTAACACAGCGGGCTACATAATTTCTATATTGGAAATCGGATTCAACCTTCTTGACAAAATTGATGCATCAGCTTCTTTAGTTCAGAGGGGTCTGAAGATACAATGTTTAGGGACAGGGATGAATAAGCTGGCCGTTGCTGTTAGGTGACATTTTAACTAGAACAACTGCCTTTATCAGATAGAAATAGAGCAGGTTTGAATTAATTATCGAAAAAAATACTCACTTTCGAAGAGGTTTACACTTTTGTCTCCGATCTTTTACATCAGAATACATCATCTTCTCAATACAGTTTTCACATACACCTGCAACACAAAGACAAGACATAACGGTACCTATTGCGTGAAAATATTGGTACCTATGACATGAAGATAACGGTACCTATTACAAGAAAATGACGGTTCCTATTACATGAAAATAACGGTACCTATTAATTGAAACTTGTAATGAGATTACATGAAATAATTCGATATCTCAATTAGCAATCCAACCTGGAGATACAGCTTGGAACAAAATAACAAGCTCTCTCCGCATTTGCACATCGATAGAGAATCACGCCCATTGGAAAACGTTCTCCCAGACAAACATATTTCCGAGAACTTTAAACTACAATTCTACATTCTACGTAACCAAATAAACCAGACACCTCTGGTGTTAGCGAAGGCAAGTCATCATGTTTCAATTTTGTAAATATGGATTACCCATCATTTCTCCTTGCAACATGTTGTATATAATCCAATCAATGACTTTTATTAGTTTAACAGACTTACAATTTACAGATTTGCTCTTAACCAGCTCTTAAATCTCATACCTCTATGAGAGACGTTTGACAAGGGATAATCTCAAAATTCCAGCTCCTGGTCTTACATATTGTTTATCTTATTCATAGGAATGTATTTTTCCAGCCTAAGCCGTGGTGGGTTGTTGACTTCCCCTCTACTGGAAAAGGTCATGTCATATATCATATCATCTCAGACCATAAGTCCTACTTACTCACCATATTCACCTTGACCAAAACCCTTGTCGCAGTCTCGGTTTGGGACGCAGGCTCTCTGGTCCTCGTTCTCAAAATGGTAGCCGGGGTTACACTCACATATGGCATCTTTGATTGTGCTGCCAAAGTCTTTGTACTTCATGAAAGGCTTATCACACCGTTTCCTGAAACAATTGAGAGAAATGAAAATATGTTTTCTCAAAACGGATAAACATTCACACACAAGTCATTAATTATCCAATGAGGACCTGTTCTCTCGGTTCCGTTCGAAGTTTTAGGAACAGATAAAGTTTAATCGAGTGGATCATGTGTCTGGAACAAGATGTTTAGTTTCCTAGCACCATGCCTGTTTTGCGTGTCTCATAAAAGTGGTTAATATGAGACTTGCCTCACTCATAGTATGAACCTTTCTCGTATAGATACATCATGGTATGATTGAAACACTACAGCGGCGTTGAATTCCTATTTATCAAATATTCATTGTCATTCAAACTAAAACATATACGTTCATCCCTGACTTGACCCCAATCACGCCTAATATTGTCGAGAACCGTGGCGGATATTAATCCCTCTGTGTTTTAACAGATTTATGTGCGGCCTATTCTTTTGTCTGAGTCATGTTGTTGTGATAAGAGTGATAAAAATACTATGTGTCTCCCCTTGTGCACCAGGCTCCAGGGTGGCTCACTATTAGTGAGTCTCAGTAATGACAGCACCACATCTTCTTGCGACTTCGTACACACCATGGGACTATCGAATATCGCCCCTTAGACAGACCAGGCGTAAGCCTTAGAGAATGTATTGTGAACGGTCACCCTATAATGAACTCCTGTGATTTGGAAAATGTTGACGCTTGAAAGGAATGTTGACACAGATCCGCGCCAAGGAATGCATGGTTTCTATCTGAACGGGAAATCAATGATAGAGCAAGCCTTCTTGTCTTAGGCTACCGGTAGGGGAAATCAATACTGAAAAACATACATCATTTCAGAACGGGGCTGTCGAGGAGGGGGAGGGGTGAATATCGATGTTCACTGACATTCCTTCTGAGATAGATTATTAGTGATTACTTTAAATTATATTTTGTACACTGCATCGCGAAAGAATAATGAAGATATAATATGTATATGAGTTAGGCCAGGCCCATGCTATAACTTTATAACAAAGTATGGATTATGTCTGGTAAGAACGCTTGACACATTTTGCAGATTCAAGGCGTAGCTGATATACATCAGTATTACACAATGGCACCGAGGACACACAAGGAGGAAAATAGCACCACACTCGCTGAGCTACTCTTAAAAGTGTCCAATCCCAAGTGTGGGATCACAACGTACCATTGTACGGTTACATTCAGATTATTCAATATGTAGAATGAGAAATCTGTTTGGTTTCTACAAGCTACCAACCACTTAAGGAAACATTCATTTCATAGATGAGACATATAGAAACGTAAAAATGCCCCCCAGTTAATTAATTATAATTTATTTAAGTAGAACTATCTGAAACTCAGCACATCGTCTCATTCAAAGCTAGTTTCAGTTTGATTCCGAAGGTAGGCAAACTGTATGTGAGGGTGTAATTCACTTATCGATCACACTGAAATGTTTATGCCCTATATGCAGACAGGTTATGTCATGCCATATGTCCGTAGGTTTCACCAAGGTGGTAATGTCTAAGGCCTGCTTTACTCCGGGCTTTCCTTCAGCTGACGAGCCATACTGCTTAGTGCGGCGTATAATCCAACTCACTCAGACCGAGTTATCCGTTTTTCACTTTTCGTTCCATCTCCCCTTGGACCAGCTGCTTACAGAATTCGATCGTAAACCAGCAATAAGATGAATGTCATCCAGGTTTTGCATAAATTCTTATGACATTTTGTGTGGAACAAGTAATTGGTATAACAACATGGTTTTATCATTGGCCAGCTGCGATCTCTGATATTTGACATAAGGAAACATTACAAGATTTGTATCAATCACTGGTTGCAGGGGAAGAATTGTGGTTTGTTGACGTCCATTTATCTTGCTTCCTGGGATCTAAAAACTTCCATATCCCAATCGAATATTCATGTAAATTAGTATTGTTTTATATATAGAAAATATATAGAAAATGCTAACAAAACTGTGAAATCTGTTAAACACATTAAATACCCCAAAACAACAATTTCATAACATAATTTCGGGATAATATATAAGGTATCTTGAAATCAAAAGTTTCGGCAAAATTCACATTTTCAGAACCCTACTTAAAAGCGAAAACAATTGTTTAGCTGACATGGTTGAAGAGGACAACCTAAGGAAGTGTCGACGACATAGCTCATGCGCTTTCAAACGAGCTGTAACACGGGCAGACATCTCGGTTCTGCTGCTGACCTTTAAAATGTTAACTTCGTTTCTCTAAGCTTTGCAATATAAAAAGTACCAACAAATGTGAAGCAATACCTCAATTTCCACAACTCTATCTGAATCTGTAAGAATGAATTGAAACGTGAATGATAGCGTCGCTGTGTACAACAGGTAGATTTACACACAGCAAACATTCAACCTACAGATTTATGTACCTATTGAGTTTAGATTCACGGTCTTCTCAACATGTTTACAGTCAAAACTGCATTTAGATTAAATAGAAGTGTATTTTCACCTTGAGATGAAAACAGCCATAAACAGCTTTTCCAACACAACATGTGTAAGATCTCAGATCACGCAGCTTGTACAAAACTACCAAAGGTCACGCAAGTGTCACAATTTAAAATATCGCAATAATTGACCATGAATGGGGTCACACGTTCAACTAGACATATTTACTAAACAGCATTACATTACAGCTTGGCTGGATATTGGCGATGAAGTGTTTCAGCTTTCAGTTAAATCTTTGTACAGAAGTCAAACTATGGATTGTTGACCCCAAAGTCTGCTGACTACCAAATGTGCCACATTTAACAGCAGTTGTCAAGATGATGACCGATTAATTACTTGAAATGTCCTTCTCAATGTTCAAATGAGACGTTCGGAACCTTTCAACGAATTCAAGTGTCATCATTGGTCGAATACCACTATTCTGTCTGCTTTAAACTGCGATTTCAGTTCGTGCTTTAAATACAACATATATACTGAGAGAAACAAATAAAGGATCACAGAAAAAGTCAAGCGTTGCTTTAATATTTTCCCGTTTTCATCACCAGCTTTGAATAGCGTTGTGGTGATGAAAACTGGAAAGTAATAAAGGAACGCTTGATTTTAACCTGTGATCCTTTATTTGTTACTCTCAGTATATATTCGGTTACAGAAAAGACCCTGTCAGAATAGTTACAGTCACGTAGTCACCCATATATACTCATGCCAAAAATGGTTGTAACCCCCTTCAATTTTTTTAATTGGAGAGGGGGTGTGGGGTGAGATGTGTGGCGGGTTGGGGTGGGGAGTGGGGTGACAACCATTATTGGCATGAGTATATGAGTATATATTAACTATGTCAATGTGCCGTTACAGTAAATGCGCAATATAACACGTCACGTAAATGTCCAGGAGCCCCCATCCAATACATCATGTATTTATATTCCTGGAGGTGCACCACAAACCTAGGCGTTACTTTATGTGTCTAGCTCCTTCCTACTTTGTGGGTGTACTTCTACCAAAGAGGATAACCGTTAATGTTGATGGTAATTAAACGTCACTAATTCAATTCACTTCTGGAGAAGAGCCACATCAGTCGAAATATCCACATCTTATATGTTGATAACAGTCAATGTTCACGGCGATCGTTACTGCAGAACCATGTATGCAAAACCGACAGAAAGGCATCACAGCTGGAGTATTGACCACATGGAGTCGGTGGTCGCCGGTAGCTTTCAAAGAAACTAAAATGGTACGGACAAGCTTAAAGTAATGAAATCAATTCTGTGAAGGGCCTTCTGAACTTGGATAGCATGTATCGTCCTATTCTTGTGCATACTTTCCCCGAGGGAACCGGCGCGTATTTGCGACAGGATGTGCTTAATTCCAAGTGGAAGGAAATTATAGAGAAACGACGGATGATTTCATGCTCCGTGATCAATAGAATATCCGGCCGTAGTGCAGGAGAGACGAAGCCTAGGTGTTTGTAACGAGATTTGCCTAGAGAAGTACTACAGCGTGGTTGGGCATACCAATGTTAAGTTTGTTGTCCTGCTCGATGCCTGAGCTTCATCGAGAGACCGATTTATAACTGTTTAGAAGGGATTGGCTACATGTTGCGATTAAATCCCTCTCTTCTTACTTCGAGTACCAGTAATGAAACTTATATAAACCGACGTTTCACAGCTTCAGGCAGACTTGAGTTGAGTAGATGACATAAGACAACGGATGAAGTATAGTGTGTTCCGGGGGTAGGCCTTGGGTGGGAGGAAGCCCCGATGTTCGAAATAATGTTGAATTGTAAGTGACATAAACAGTTCCTTAAGGTCACACCTGGAATACAATTTGAATATACATCGTGATGCGTATTTGTTCAGCCTTTTCTCCAGCCTTATGCTGACACGCTCTATCATATCTGGAAGTTAAAATCCAACTCATTCACACACTTACGAACGGGTAATCCCGTTTGGGAAGGCGACGTCTGGCAAAGTTGCTTCCTCTAACTGCTGAATACTGACTGTGGGTTAACTGGTTTGAGAGAAATAATATGTTGTGACACGGTTGCTGTTGGGATCATGCAAGTGAATATGCAGTACCTGAAGCCGAGGGCTGAATACGAGGAAACCCCAAGGCGATTGGAAAGTATCTAGTATTGTTTTTAAAAGGAAGAAAAGCAAGTAGATGAAACATACCTCCATCGACACTTATCGCCTAATCGGTTTTCATTAGGTTGGAAGAACCGAGGTCCGCATTGTTTGCATGAGTACTCTCCTTCATTCGGGCAGCTGGAGAGTGCGTGTCCTGAAACATACAAACACATGTGAACGACAAAGGTGTTGCAAGCGGCGTATCCTGAAACATACAAACTTGCTGTGAACAACAAAGGTGTCGCACACGGCGTATCCTGAAACATACAAACTTGCTGTGAACGACAAAGGTGTTGCACACAGCGTATCCTGAAACATACAAACTTGCTGTGAACAACAAAGGTGTCGCACACAGCGTATCCTGAAACATACAAACTTGCTGTGAACAACAAAGGTGTCGCACACAGCGTATCCTGAAACATACAAACTTGCTGTGAACAACAAAGGTGTCGCACACAGCGTATCCTGAAACATACAAACTTGCTGTGAACAACAAAGGTGTCGCACACAGCGTATCCTGAAACATACAAACTTGCTGTGAACAACAAAGGTGTCGCACACACGGCGTATCCTGAAACATACAAACTTGCTGTGAACAACAAAGGTGTCGCACACAGCGTATCCTGAAACATACAAACTTGCTGTGAACAACAAAGGTGTCGCACACAGCGTATCCTGAAACATACAAACTTGCTGTGAACAACAAAGGTGTCGCACACAGCGTATCCTGAAACATACAAACTTGCTGTGAACAACAAAGGTGTCGCACACGGCGTATCCTGAAACATACAAACTTGCTGTGAACAACAAAGGTGTCGCACACAGCGTATCCTGAAACATACAAACTTGCTGTGAACAACAAAGGTGTCGCACACAGCGTATCCTGAAACATACAAACTTGCTGTGAACAACAAAGGTGTCGCACACAGCGTATCCTGAAACATACAAACTTGCTGTGAACAACAAAGGTGTCGCACACGGCGTATCCTGAAACATACAAACTTGCTGTGAACAACAAAGGTGTCGCACACGGCGTATCCTGAAACATACAAACTTGCTGTGAACAACAAAGGTGTCGCACACGGCGCATCCTGAAACATACAAACTTGCTGTGAACAACAAAGGAAACAGCATGACATGGCAAATGACCCCAAGAATATCTGTCAGTTTCTACATTTATATGTTTTCCCACTTCTCGTTATGCATTAGATATGTACTTCAGCCATGCTGCATGCTACTTCACGACTTGAATCCCACCAGCAACAAATATTGCTGATGTCTCTAGCAAGTCCAATACGATTATCATTACCATTATCAAACTTCAAAATATAAGGTACATACGATACACGTGTTTATAGCAGTTCAGTGTGGAGTGAATTCCATGTACAGTGATGTGTAAATGACCATGGCATGCAGAAGGTTTAGTTTCTGGGGTTTCTCTAATCATTGTAAAAATATTGACTTTAGCACTTGTTTTCAATATAAACAGAATGTAAACGAAGACAGTCACTTAAACCCCTTGTCCATATATACAATGTTTCGAGCAAGAATGCTAATGCCTACTGCATAAATTTAAATGACCAAAAATACCACTACACTCCAATGATTTGAACAAAACAGTATGTCATCATAAAGAGAAATACACATACTAAATATGCTTTGAGTGATAATTCTAGAGCATGGTCAAAACTGATAATATTACATCATATCAAATTCTATGCTGACTCAGCTGTATGAAGGTTACGGTGTGACGAAACGCATCCTTAAAGAATTAAAGGTCAAAGTGTAAAGGTCAAACAAGAACCAAATTTATAATGTCGTGAAAAACACAATCTATGTTGGGTACCATTGCTAATGCACATATATCAAAATTCATTACATTTTCAACAAAGCTGACTGAATGGTTTAAGACGAGACCATGGTTAGCTTACAATGTCACCAAAATTATTAATGTCTTCTGAAAGATTGTAGGGGCATGGTCGAGGTGTATTGGTTCAATAAAGGTCATAATTATCTCCATTAAATGGAATTGGGATGTTTTGATCACCTCCAGTGAGATGCAGTTGGCTAACTAATGGCCACATCTTTCCTTCTCAACTCGGATACCATGATGGTCATATCAAACCTAGATACAAACCATTTGCAATTCAGGTGTCATCATTTGGAGGAACAAGAATGTGAAGAGTCAGCCTTTTCGTCAAACTTTGAGATGTAGTACATTCATACTAATGACTAGGCCTTAGCGGAATTCTTTGAACAAAAATCAAATTACATTAGTTCGTGACTGTATCATCCCTGGCAATAACAATGGCAATACCGCTAAAGACTTCAGACTCCAAATGCTGATATCCAAACTGAGTCCTCCTCAGATTTCACTGAGTACTGTATCTTATGACATTAACAAAAAGCACACATTTCTGTCATTTTTCAAGTATTTTCGCACGGAGACCACACCCTAATTACCATCCATTCTCTATCCCACAAAGGGCAAAGAAAAACCCATAAAATATTATGTACATACAGCATGATACCTCAGTAAGTACTGTGGACTACTTCGACTCTTGAAGAAACAAATCAACGTTCAAAGACATTGCTTCAGTCAAACTGCCCCGGTACACGAAGTAATTAATTAGTAGTAAGACGACTTGATAAGAAGGACAATTCTTTCTTCGTGTTATCGTGTCGGTGCTCTCACAGGGTGCATGGACTGGCGCCAGGTGTGGCACTGATGTGTGTGGCGTCATTACTGCGATCAATGGCGGCCATGTAGCTCACAGCATAAAGTATCATCCGTATACCGAGTGAGTGCAAATCATAAAGTATCATCCGTAACATGTGATTACAAATATGTGTCAAAACACTCGTATTCAAATTGCCGTTCGTATGAAGAATATCTGATGATAATGATTAATGTATACAGATGGTGCTTCGTCCCACTCTTCATGCAGCACTAGACGAGTTACAGACTAGCTCATGCTCAACACAAACTGTATAACCTTTATCTTGCTCATCCATTTCTCTGCTATTCAGATAATGGTGGCCAACCCAGAATGTAAAAAGAGACATATGACTTATATATCTGATGTTATATACATTTGATATATATTTCTGTAAACGATTGATCTAATTGACACATATTGAAGCACGATCTATGACTGAATCTGTATGCAGTCAATTTGAGCCAAAACGTTGCAATCTCACTCGGCAGGAATATGGCAAATGTACTTTGTAGTAGCGTGTGTGTTGGGCAGTCAACAATGCATCACATGAATGAAAACAGTAATGGATTCACAACAAACCCATGTGACATAAACATCCCTGTCCCTGGTTATCATATCATGAGCATTCATACATGAGCTCATACGGCGACCACGTGGCAAACCCTAGGACCTTCGACATATTAAGTACTATGATTCCTAAACGAAAATGATAACACCTGATATCAGCACTTTTTGATAAGGATTCATAAACATATGCTCTGTCATCGTATCTCATTCCAATCACTGGATTGTCGACTATTGCTATTTTAGGACAGTGTTCTAATCCCAATGCGGGCGCAAAACAGGAGTATGTGAAAGAAAAGGCTCGTGACAGAGTATCCCGTGCTTATTTACATTTATGACTGACATAGAAAGTAGTATTTATAATATGGTTGCCATGCCAACCGTCTTTAAAACGGATGTGAATGCCAAATGCACCAATGATGGAATCATATAACTTGTGGTGAATTAACCAAACACTTGAGCCATAAATGCGTTGGGAACTAACGGATAATATTCCTTGTAGGTGCCCGCAAGGGATTCCTTTCTTTCCCAGCCTTGATAACGCATTGTTCGTAAACAAGTTTAAATATACATAATTAAGTAAGGGTGTTGAGTCATCACTTCAAACGTTCACGTTAGTTTCAACACTTCCACTGTCGAATTCGTCTAACGGGTAATGATACATAAAGATACAAGTTAAAACTGTTGGTAAAACGTACTGTGGGAACCAATCAAACCACAGCTGAGCCACGGAAAGACGTTGCGGTTTTTCTTACTGAATGTGAATACATCATCTTTGGTATTCATATGGATGCTTACACTACAGAAATAATTACTTACATCCAAGAAAGGTGCAGAGCTTCACAAGAGGTCAAGTATCAACAGCAGTTATTGAACTGTCTGACATTGACTAAGATACGTCAGTTCATTACGGAAACGATGAATGATTTATTGGACTGTGAGCTACCGGCGCAGCTGCAGAGTGAATGAAACAGGAAGCTTCCACCTTTTGTTCCTTTAACTCCCTGTCTAGATAGTGTGAATCAAGGGCAAACCTGTGCATATATCAAGACGTGACAAATGATCACTTGAATATTTCCTAATGTTTATAGAAGACATTTCATGTGACTAGCCTGTAGTAAAAGTCAACCTAACCCCACCACCTATGTAAGTTTCAGTACCTGCTCGATCGCTGCATTCGGAATTCTATATTAGTGTGTAAAATAAACACGGATTTATTCTTGACATAAGATTTGATATGAAAGCCAAACTTGACTTTTTACGAACAATGAAAACATGGTGTACCTCACATCTGCTTACTGTAAACAAACCATTCAATGCCTTTATTGGTCTCCTCAGGGTTGAACCAAGTACAGATCGAACTACATCTCGAAAGGGACATTAACGTTCAAAGTATCTCCTTATCGATATTCCCCTCAATACACATGTCTATACTTTTCCATTTTAAAACATAGTTTAACTTAACTACCTGTAGCTGTCAACGGCTCGGCAACTTTCAACAGTTGCAATGTTCGTTTTAGTGGAGTAAAATGTTTTGCAAAGACATAAACTCACTTAATTTCTGTTAATAAACGATATAACACGATGAAACCACATGATTAATAGGAAATTATCGAAAAGAAACATAATACAGGCTAATCTTCCCTTGAAGTACTGCTTCTCTGTTTGGCTCTCTTCAACCATCATACTCATTTGTCCATCGTGTGTACATTTATAAATTCTCCTCTAAAGCTATTCAACTATGTTCCAATATTGGCACATTGCAAGTGTGAAGGGAAGTTGTAGAATAATTTGTTGTGACGTGACCAGGTCTTACTTAACGAGAGGAGAGTGAAACTTCTTACCTTGCGGACAAGACTTCAGATTCTTCTGGCATTTGGAAAGTGAATGTCTTGAAGGTGTCATCTGAAACAAACAGGTGGTTGTTGAGCATTGCCTGGCGCATGATATATATGCAAGAAGTAGCATTACCGGTTGAGATGTGTGAATGCAATATCTAACAAGAAGACAAAGTCATCAATATCCCCCGCAATGGCAAAATACTCTTCATGATTATGTCTACGAGTTATGATTATGTCAAATATTTAGGTGTGTATATAGAAAAATGGAAGGAGAGTAATGAAAGGTTTTTAAAGTTCTGCTCCACAAAGGAGCACTATCACCAATTTCAGTCTATGTCAAACTTGTTGCCATGGAAATGCCAAAAATATTTTATTCAGAAATCCAAAACTACATTATTCAGAAATCCAAAACTACCAGTACAACCCACCAGATCTATGTATGTGCCAAGTTTGGTGAAGAAATAGTGAACGGTTTTAGAGTTCTGCTCCGGAAAAGAGCACTACCACTAATTTCTGTTTTAGTCAAACTTGTTGCCAAGTTTGGTGAAGAAATAGGGAACGGTTTAAGAGTTCTGCTCCGGAAAAGTGCACTACATACTAATTTCTGTTTTAGTCAAACTTGTTGCCATGGAAACGCCAAAAATATTTTATTCGGATTTCCAAAACTACCAAAAAGGCACCAGTACACCACCAGATCTATCTATGTGGCAAGTTTGGTGAAGAAATAGTGAACGGTTTTAGAGTTCTGCTCCGGAAAAGACAAATGTGCACGGATGGACGGACGCACGCACGCACGCACGGACGGAGTCCATTTTAATACCCCCCGCAAAAAGCGTTGCGGGGGATAAAAAAAGGTTACGCCATGAGCAGGATGAGAGAAGTAGCTTTACCAATTACTTGCAAAGTATGTATACTCACATATGCATCACATTTTCATATCGTATTTCGTCATGGCTGAGAAAGGTACAATTTTAGATGGTAGGAGGGGACTTTCAAAATTGGGACGGCCGGTACGCTCACTGTCAACATTAGGACAACTGGCTAGATCAATTACGGAAGTGTGAAATTTCACTGTCAAAATTGGGACTGTGAAAATCGTGACTAAACACAAAATACATGCGTGAAGAGTCAACTATGCACCTTTGGTCACAACTATGCACCTTTATTTCAGCTTGAAACACGACAGCGTGCTGTTGTCAGCACAGCCTCAGTGACATGCAAGATTCATAGCTGACGAAATTTCAAACAACGTTTCGAGACATAACAAACAAAATAACCATACATTAATTGAAGATTAACTTTAACAATTGTATGCACACGTGTAGTCATAAATGAAGATGCCTGAGTGTCCAGGGTAAGTCTGCGTAGCGCATAGGCACAGAGATTGAAGGAAGGTCAAAATGTTCCATATCACAAAATAGGGGAAAGCAAAATACATATGTATTGAGGCATACACTTTAAAAACGCAGAAAATATTTCATCACATCAGGGTTTTAGAATGGCTGGTCTGGGGGGCAGTAGTGAAAGTCGGAACCGAAGTTGATGTGTCACCATTAAAAGTAACAACCACGTGAAGCTTCAGTTTCACTGGTCCGACCGTTTCCGATGAGAGGATATTTGCAATGAATGACGCATCGGAAATAAGTCGCTTTGATATCTATGAATTATTTATCATCAAAAGCTTACACGCAAAGGATTTTGATGATTTGACATCACGTCAGCCGTATTATGGTGACATTAAGCCATGCTTCCGAGGACACGAAATAAGCTTTCACTTTCAGTTGAAATGAAAAACCAAAACCACCATACGGTGATGGGGAGGGGTTATCATCATGATGAGAATATTACTACCGTGCACACCATATATCAACACAGCAGAGAGTACATATAATCAAAGGATTAAGCATGGATGACAAAGTGAACTCAGATAGTTTCAGTCGCCTTTTAAATTTACAAACATTTAACTATTTTGGGGCGTGTACATTTCAATATCAAATCAATATCAAAGTATTTCATTTCCGACTTTATCAACTGCTGAGGAGTTGCTTGTTGTATACTTTCCCTTTCCTCTGGCAATTCCTGTCTTGTGGCCAGTCTCAGCGGGTAGTTTGTGATAAGATGTTCTAAATAATAGTAATTATAATAATACTTATTCTTTAGAACATATGACCCAACAACCAGTCTGATAATCCCCATTCTATTAAGAATCAGTTACAACCACACATCATCCATGTATCACTGCGCCAGTGATGGTTGTGACATAGAACTCTCAATCTCACAGTGTGGAAGCCCGCATTCTACCAGTAATACGTTATAAAACAGCATGATACAACACAACATAACACAACAGTCCGAGGCCTGGGATCAGGCAGTTACCCACGCAGTATACCCTCAATCAGCTATAACATAATAGTCCAAGCCTAATAATTAGTCTGGTCTGCTTACATTGGCACAATAAACATAACAGGTGGAGTTGAATAAATCCCGCGTCATTGTCACTGATAATTGTTATCCATATGACCAATATATAGGCTAGCATATTACAGAAAAGCCAGTTAACATGGTTCCAATGAAATATCGTAGCACAAAGATACTGAATAAGGAAGTGATACGAGTCAAAATCACATGTTGGCTGACTGATGTGTCAACAGTGTCTCAACAGTGTGTACACAACAGGGAGACCATCATCTCTGTACCAAGAACAGTCAGGCCTTTCATCCAATTTCGTAAACATTCATACGGCGGCCATAACAAGCGAGCCCACGAGGGAAAACGTTCAGTCTTACTGTTACACCCGTGCTGGTTACGGTTAACCAGAGAGAGATGATAGACCACCTGAATCACATGTTAGTTCTGCTGACCATTCAACACATACCACCGATGTAGCCGCCTCGATATGCTGTTCCTCAATGTCTTCCGCTCCGTTCAGGTATTTCTCAATTGTCCACGATCACCGCTACCTTTGTTTCCACCACCTTCCCGGTCAGCGCAACAGGGACTCACTCATCTCAAATTTTATTCAAGTAATGTTCAGCCGTAACGCAATGTCTCTAATCTCCCACCAGCCACACGCACATTCTTCATTTTCTTCTTGGCGGTTGAACTGTACACAAAGAGTCTAACAATGGCCTTAGTGGGGCTAGAGTAACACACCTTACCTAATTTCACAGTAATTTAAAGTGAAGGGAAGGACAGGGAATCCTCCCGTGTATCACAGACATACACCCTTATCAGAGTTGGTAGGAGCTGATACCATGAACGCTAGGTAAGGAATCGGGATTAGTACTTTTGGTTTGCAATTTGAGTGTGAATGGCAATGTTGAACAAGGCCGGAAAGACTGATGTAAATTCAACCTGTTCGGGAGGGGAGGGGGAGAGAACGGAGGGGCGACCCAGTCGGCCGAGGCGACACAATTCTTGGCTCGCCCTGATTATGTTACCTGTGCTCGTGGGTTTTACATGAAGCTTTCTTAGTGCCGCATCTCCTCCCCAATCTAGTTGTCGCGACATGAAGCAACTGTAAATACCATTCACAGCGGCATTAAACCAAGGCCGCTCACTCGCTTTTGTTGACTGGGTTAGGATGGCACTTGATCTTACCGGATATAAATCATACGAAACAAGCGCACAAATGGGTAATATTTGTCTGTGATGTAGTGCGTTCTGAGACACACATTCTAGAAATGCGTTATAATAATTATAATGTTTTGTATGAAATTCAAAACATTCTGAAACATTAGTAATATATTCAGAGGCGTTCAACTTTGCAAACGTGTAAATATGAAGATAGAGCCACCTCACCACCTGATCTATTTTCGGGAGTATCATATTAGTTCATAAATGTCATTGGAGATTAAATATGAATAACCATGATAAGTAACCGAAACTTCTACACAACAGATGGCATCACCGAATTACACAATTATACATGTAGAACTGGGCATGTAGACGGTTACATATACAGTACAACCAGAAATAATTGAGAATTTAAAGATTGTAATTTGTTTAATTGTTTTCTACTCATTACTCACGTATTAAATGTGAATATTAGCAGAACATTCCTCCAGATTCAAAGACAGGTGAACAGTATTTTGTCAAGTCACCATGGGCAGCAATGCAGGCTTAAATGCGGCGGGGCATACTACTGATCAAAGAAGTTAGAAAGTCGTGGTCCATGCTGTCTCAATATCGGACCACCTCTTCTTTCATTTCAGCAATATTTGTCAGATTTTTCTTCTTGACACTTTCCTTCATAAGTCCCCAAACATTTTCTATTGGATTTAGGTCAGGGCTATAGCTTGGCCAATCTAATAATGTCATATTTTGTGTCCGAAACCAGGCCTGTGAATGCTTTGAACGATGATTTGGGTCGTTGTCCTGCTGGAAAATCCAAACATTTCCATAGAACACGTGAGCAGATGGAAGTAAATGTCCCTCGAGAAAATATGTGTACCGCTCACTGTTCATATTCCCTTCAAATACACAGAGGGGTCGTTGCCCCTAACACAGATATGCCACCCCACACGTTAAATTTCGGACTCTACTTTGGGCGCTGATACACAGGTTTTCAAGTTTGTTTGGTCCAGAATTTCAGTGTATTAGGAAACAGCCACACAGAACTTTCATCTGAGAAAATCACATTGTCCCAGTTCAAATTTCTATGCTGTTAGCACCAGTTCAACCTTCGCTCCTTTTGTTCAGGTTTCATGATCGGTGATGGAATTCCTCGAATTTTCTGCCAACCCATTACATGCAGCTCAGTTCTAATTGTTTCCTTACAGACAGCCACAGTTCCTCTATCAATCATACCCAGCCTTAAGTTTTCTAAACTCCTTCGTTTGTTTTTAGAAACAAGAATACCAAGCCGCCTCCTGTCACCGACAGTCAATTTTCTGGGCCTACCTGCGCCTCCCTGGTGCTCAATGCCAAATCCATTTGCAATATTTTTCAAAACACGATAAACAGTGGACAAAAGGATGCCTGTTCTACTTCAAATCACTTTAGTTGTTATAATACTCTAAAATCAACTTCCTCTTCTCTAAATCATCCATACTGAGGATCACT